AGGACACTACTAGGGGCTTTTCCTGGCATCCCTACTAGGAGCAGCGAGAATCTTATCAGGTGTCACCACCTGGGCAGGTCTTTCAGCCTTCTATCCACCCTGCTTTCCTTACAGCGTGTGCCTGGGGTAATCAATATGCTGATCTGGTGCTGCAATTTTGTGCATCCCTTCGCTGGCCCTCTGATGATATTATTCACGACGATCCCACCGTCACTGATGGGATCACATGGCATGAGCTCGCCGTGGCCTTTGTGGTTAATACCGGTCTCCAACTGCCGACTTGGATTAAACTAGAGCATCAGCACAGGGCACAACCAATTCACTGGCAGGATCCTCGGGTGTTAGCCCTCCCCGTACATCGACGTTCACTTCGGGAGCAGGCCGAGGCCTTTCGTACCATTGCACTATACCTTCAAAATTATACTAGTACACCCTTGCTGCCCAATTATTCCAAGAAAGGCTCACTCAGCCTCACTAAGATTGGATGGGGTCGTGCCTATACAGGAGGCTTCCGCTACAGACCGGAAATCCCAAATTCCAAAGCGGTTCAGCGCACTCTGATTCGATATTCGGAAGACCTGCATTGTAAACCACCCTATCATCCAGACGGAATCATTCCGATGAATCACGTTCGTCCGACTTTAGCGGTCGTCGCCGCGGTCCCTCTTTCATTCCAACAAAGGTTCCTTTACCGTCGATATCTTCGCCAATGCTGGAACCGTCAAGGAGATCTAGATTCCGTGCCCATCCCACCGGCACCTAATTAGTAGCTTCATAATTCGTAATTCCAGTTGACATCTAATTCGCACATCGCTCTATACATCATTTTGCCGCGCGGATATTCGTTCTCACGTAGCTTGATCTGTACAGGGCTTTTTCACTCTCCACCATCGCATTTTACCACACTCCCCGACACCCCCTACAACAGGGCAGGGTCGTGGGAAGCGCACGAGACAGCGCAAGTTTCGCGAGTAGTAAGGCCAGGAGCCCCTAGTAGCGTCCTTGCTCCTAGTAGCAAGGTTCCCTAGTAGCGTCCTTGCTCCTGGTAGTAAGGTCAGGAGTGTCGCTGCTCCTAGTAGCGATGCCAGGAGGAGCCCCTAGTAGCGTCCTTGCTCCTAGTAGTAAGGCCAGGAGCCCCTAGTAGCGTTCTTGCTCCTAATAGTAGGGCCAGGAGCCCCTAGTAGCGTTCTTGCTCCTAGTAGTAAGGCCAGG